GCGGGTGAGTTCGGGCGAAAAGCAGGTGAGTTGTGGCTTTCAGATTACGTCAAGATGTTATTCAGATCAGAAAACGTGAGTCTAAAATGCACGAAATAGCGTTTCGCAGACCCTGCAAATAGAAAAATTCCCGGACAACCATGGCCCTCGACGGTTACACCGCCCTCTCAAAGAATCCCATTCGTTCGCGGCTGGCTACGCCCCTGGTTTTGTCTTTTATTTCGATAAAAAATCAGTCAACGATTTAGTTAGCTACTATACTCCATACATCACTGACAAAAAAATTTTACTTTTATAAGAGGTTTTTACGTTATTATGAGGTCTGTACATTTATTAAGAGATTTGTACAAAAAGACCAAGCGAGGTTAAGGTTACAGGACACCCTTTTTGGCGTTTTGCGGAAAACCGCTACTGCGCGCTCAATATCAGTCCGACTTTAATCAAATTTTCACCAAATGTTTGCCAGTGTATGCAAAATAGGGTAAAGTTGTAAAATTAACAAACAATAAAATAATATAAGAATTATTCAGGAAAATCTTAAATCGCGGTACCGTTACGCTTTTGAGTTGTGCTCCTGCTGGTTTTAAGTTATATTTATGAAAATATCATTTTTATACAGTAAAGTAGTTGTTCTAAAAAATTGTGTTCGGAAATTTTTGTATATTTCGTCATTCCGCTGATAAGGCGATTTCTTTGTCGACTGCAATGTATTTCTGAATTGTTTGAATGAATTGCTCTTTATTATTAAAATATCCAAAATTAAAAAAAAGCCGTACACAGTTTTGAAACTGAATAATACATTTTCAATGTTTTTCTTATTGCAGCGAAATGTATTTTATTAAATAACTCAACATTTTTCGTTCAAACTTGGTCAGATAGTAGAACTAGTCTAATGCTTTCATGGAAACCAATAAAAACAATTTAGGCAAAAGAAACACTCAAAGGTGTTCTGTAACCTTAATAAAAAGTTTATTATATGGCATTTTGTAGGCATTTATACTTGAAAAAAACCCCAAGAAAGTCATGATTTGAAATACATGTTAGTAGCGTGGTACACATTTGGTCGAAGAAAACAAAAAAACAAACAATGTATTCCTTCTTTTCCACTAAAACCCATTCGCAAATATCTTATTGGTAACAAGTTAAATTATAATTTTCAAATTTTCAATTAGTTTTGCTGCTTTGTTTTAAAATGCATGCGTTTGTTTTTACGTAACGGACCACCGGTCCATTAGGGGAAATAATGGATCGCTGACAGTGCTTCTCATCCAATCACAGTCCGCCATTTCATACAAAATAAAATAAAATAAAATACAAAATAATACAAAATACAATAAATTAATAAAATACAATAATTTAATTGAATTCATTTACATGATACGGAGCTCAAGTTATTCTATTAACCATTCCTATTGTTGATGAGGATAAAATGTTTTAGTTTAAAAAAACTTTTTAGAACACTTAATTAAAACGTTGTAGAGTGATTATTTGCAAACTCCATTATCACATACTCGAACCGACTTAACCTCGTAGCTCAGTTGGTAGAGCGTTAGACTGTCCGGTATGGAGATATACATTGTTTTTCGAAGAATTGAGTGCTCTTGGTCATCTATAATAAATAACTTATTCACTGAACTTGTTCGGTCCAGACAGTACAGGATGTCTGTTTTTTGTTCCAACAAGAAAGAACTATAATATCCTGAAGTCTGAACCTCTCGTTCAGTCAATAGAGAGTTCGAACGCAATACAACGCAGTACGAAGACGTACTTGACAATTTTTGCCCGTCTGCACATTATCTTGCGTATACTGAGTTTGAGGATGAATACTGACTGCCCCAGACAGAACAGCGAGACATGAAACCATATCCCCGTCTTCGCTCTTCTGCGTTCGTTCAGAACGAAGTTCATGACGAATTTTGCCAAAATACGAAAGCAGAAGGACGAAGACGAGATATGGATTCATGTTTCGCTATTTTGTTTGGGCCAGGGTAAGGATTAAGGTCAGTTGGACATTAATCTATAACCCGCTTTCGTTGAACAACCACCGCTGATCGGCAAACTCAGTATGCGCAAGATAATGCGCAGGCGACGAGCACAAATTGTCAATTGCGTCGTCGTCGTAATTCGTTCTCTTGCTCAAACTCTCTAATAACATATATGTAATAACATGACAAATGTTGTCAAACTTTGTGTACCTATACTAATTTTGAGATTATCCAATTCCGGCCATTGGTAAAGTTCGTTTCTTCATTTTGTCACCTTTTAACACTGGGTCACTGTCTCCTCAACAACTTTGGAATGGAAAATTTACGAAATTTATAGTGTTTACAGTAATCACCATTGTTACGAAATTATATTATTTACATCATGAACAGTTACAAGCTCGGTCGATTAACTAATTTAGAACTTAACTTATTATCTTAGAGGAAAATGTTCAAAATTTAAGCATACAAATGAACTTTGTTTTATGAATCAACCTATAACTTTAAAGAGAGCTGGCTGGAGTGAGCTTTTGTCGTTTTGATAACGTAATATATAATTGTAGTATACACTTGTCTCAGATGCGCTTATTTGACCAGTATTTTATTGGTTAAAACAAACAAAAATTGGGTTATTTTAACCAATCTTTCGGTTGTTTTGACCACATAGCCTAATAATGGTCAAAAGAGAATGCACCTGAGACAAGAAATTCAAATTTGGTGATAAGATGCAGTACAGAATGTTATAATAGCATTCTTGCTAGCTTGATCAACACATGTATTTCTATACTAACCCGTAAACAAATTATACATGCCATTATATAAAGTACTTAACTAATTAACATGATGATAAAGTCCATCTTTCTCTTTCCCTTTCTGAAGCTGAGTGGGATCTAATAATAAAAACAATTATAACCAATAAATTAAATATATAAATAATAAAGATCCGTGTCCGTACTAAATACGGTAACTAAATTTAGAACTATATGAACTACCATTATAATATAAGTGTGATATAACAGACGATTTGATTGGCTAATGCGTGTGCATTGCGATGCAATAATGCATTGTGATCTGTGGCACTGCCTTGCTCTTTCTCTGTTTTTTTCCTCTTCATCATTGCTTTTTAGCCAAAAATTAAACAAAACTATAGGGCTTTTAAAAAACAAAATTTATCAGAAAGCAAGAAGAAATAGACCAAAGGAACAAAGCAAATTTCTATAGTTCTACGTGTAAAATTAAACGACTTGGAATTCGTCGAATTTGTTGTTGTGTCGACAACTTTTGGGTAAAAGCATGCAAAATAGCCGAGAAAAAACTTGAAAAAGATACAGGAATACCAAACATATATAAATGATTTAGAAAGTAATATTTTTGGCGAAAGACAAAAAATACAATAATTTCGAGAATTAAAACTGAGCAACACCACGAAACCTACGATTTACCGGTTTTCATGGCAAATCCAGCAGCCCAGATGCTGAAAAACATTGGCAAATTAGTCTGTGTATCACTGGGGTTTTTTTATTTGCAGCATTTTAAACAATTTTTCCGGCTCTATAGCATCAAAAGTTTGTATATTGTTTTGGCAATTTTGCTCCTTCGCTCGCTTAAAAATTCAAGCGACAGTAGAAACATGCGCGCACGTCACTGAGTACATGTTAGGATAAACGTCGATCTTTCTTAGTAAAATTGTTTTACTATGTAATATCTTCTACTTATATCATAAAAGAAATAGAAAAACTCGTCTCATGCGTTTATAATGTGATAATGCACTCGGGGAATGTTGGGAGAATACTTAAGAAGCGTGTAAAACACTCGGCTACGCCTTGTGCTTTACACGCTTCTCTCGTATTCTCCTAACATTCCCCACGTGCATTATCACACCATAAACGCACATGACTCGTGGGATGCTCGCTGTCAACAACGTATTGGCAAGGAACATGTTGCTTCCTTTCTCATACTTCACTTCGATGCCATACTTCTGGAGACGGATCATCATAGCTTGCAGTCTCTTGGGAGCTCGATGAAGATGTTTCTTCAAAATACTTTCCAGAGGTTTATCATCACTGTAGACGGTAACTTTTCTGCCAAACGTGTAGTCGTTAAATTTCTCGACCGCATAAACGATTGCCAACATTTCCTTCTGTATCTGAGCTAGCCTGCGTAGCAGGCGTTGGTGTGGGCGGAAGAAGAGAGGGAGTTGTCGAAAAAACGCCTGCCCAAATGGCTATGACAAAATAAAATGTGTTTTTGACCGAAAAAAGTTCGGCTTAATTCCCATTGGCCAATCTCGTTGACGGAAGTAATTACGTAACTCAAATGTCAACAATAATTTTGCCCGCCGCCCGCGTATATATTCTCATAAAAAGTATGGCTGTTAATAATGCTTTGGAAGAAACTATCTCTGATATTTCAAGTCTTTCAGGTTTCGAAATTCAGTTGAAACCAGAACAGCAAAGTCTAATATCGACTATGATTGGATAATGGGTGAACCGGTGAAGGTGCTAATTTCTACAAAACGTCAATCACCCTTAATGGTAGACTTTAATGGTAGACTTTCCCAAAGTCCTTTCCAGTTGTTTTATTTCGCCGTTCGTATGTGCGCTGGACTTGTGGGCAAGTCTACCTTAATGGGCGAAAAAACATTTGTCATAGCCATTTGGGCAGGCGTTTTCTCGACGACGCCCTCTCTTCTCCCACCCGCACTAAACGCCTGCTACGCAGGTTATATCCGAGCATATCGTGTTTCTGTCTCAGATAGTGTTCGACTGGCATATGCAATCGAATTACCATTCTGCATTAGGGCCACTCCCAAACCGGTCTTACTGCTGTCGCATTGGATCTCAAGACTTTCTGATCGCTTTCTGATCGTCGTTGCGATTAGATGCTTCATTTCATTCCATGCTTTCTCGTGTATTTCCAAACAGCACCACACCGACTCTTTGTGTGTTAGATCACGCAAGGGCTTTATAACCTCCGATAGGTTGGGTAGGAAACGACTTAGGTAATTCGCCATTCCGTTCAAACATAAGATTTCTTCAGGAGAGGCATCTCCATAATCGCCTTCACTTTACCTGGGTCGACTTTCAAATCTTCATTGGTGAGAAGATGACCATGGAGTGAGATATCTTCACACTTGAACTCCAATTTACCCTTGGTCAACTTAATGCTCTTCTCTTTACACCGTTCCAGTAGCCTCTCGAAGTTTTGGTCATGATCTTTCTCGTTGGTACCGTAAACAAGGATATAATCTGCAATACACTTCACTCCTTCCAGTCCCACGAGCTCTTGGTTGAGATGTTTCTCGAATATCTCACTGGACACGTTTAAACCAAAGGGCAGGCGCAATCACTGGAATCTTCCGTAGAGGGTAGAAAACGTTGTCAGCTTGCTTGATTCTCTCTTGTCTAATTCTAGATGCCAAAATGCGGATGCAAGGTCAACCTTGGAAAATACACGAGCCTCTAACAAATCAGGTAGTAAATCATCTATGACAGGAATTTGATACAGCTCTCTCTCTTCAGGGCTTTGTTCAGTGGCTTTGGATCTATGCATAGGCGCAATGCACCAGACTTCTTCATAGCAACGACAATTTGACTCACCCACTCGGTCGGTTTTTCAACAGGTGTGATGACTCTCAATCTCTCTAATCGTTGTAGCTCGACTTTAAATTGGTCTCTCACTGACACGGGTATTTTCCGTGCTGGTAGTATGACTATGGTTTGTGATTTGGGTCTACTTCTAGATGGACTATTCCTGACAATCTTCCCAAATCGTCGTTAAAAACTTCAGCATGCTTGTCTACCACTTCCATGCTGATGACGTTCTCTTTGTGAATCATCAACAGCCTCATCTCTTCTGTGGTCTTCAAACCTAACAACGGAGTCAGGTCATCCTTGACAAGAACTTCATGTCATAATTCTTCTGCTTTCTTAAATTAACCACTCGAACGACACAGGTTCCCAAAGCAAACTTCCTATGCAATATATGGAGGACTTTCGATATCTCTTGGCAAAATAGTTCTTTCTTTTGCACTTGTTGCAGGTTTTCCCCCAGGCTGGACACTTTCGCTTATCTGGCAAGTGCTTAAAACAGTTACGTAAGCAGTATTTTGCATAATTAATTTAAAATCATTAAAAAAAGTCAAGTCCAAGACGACGGACGCAAAGCAACTATGAATTATTATACATAACAATGTAATTTATGAAATTTTCGGCGTGATCACAAAGGAACATTTCAACCAATCATATTCCTCCCTCCCGTTGTGCGAGGGAACTGTACGGCATTAGTGAGAACTGATCGCAGACTGTTTCTCCGCCGCTCCAAGGGGGGGGGGGGGGGGGGGGGGGGGG